ATCATTTTTTTTTCCTCAGAAAATAAAGAATCGTATCGGTTTTTTTTTAATTTTTATGGCAAACAGTTGTGATGATAATAATAATGATAATAATTTGTATGACAAAAACCTGCAGAAAAAAAAGAGAAAGAGAAAGAGAAAGAAAGAGAGAGAAAAAAAGTTTTCTATATACAATCGTAAACAGAAAAAATAATTTATTTGTATACTTTATGTAATGTTTATAAAAAAAAAAAAAATTTATTTTATTTTATTTTCCCTCCGTTTTGTTTAAACCGGAAACTCTCTTATCTCTTTCCTCTTTTTTATTTTATTTTTGTTAACTTTAACAATAGAGAAAGGTTTTTTTTTTTTTTTAATTTCTTTTCTCGGGGTTAATTTTACATATAATAAAAAAAGTGGTGGCAGACGAAATTTTTTTTTTTTTTTTTCAAGTATTAATAATTTAAATGAAATTTTAAAGAAAATCAATATTTCCTTAAAAATTATTATTATCATTATCGTTATTATTATTATTGTTATTTTATTAAAAACTTTTGTTTTGAAATCGTGTCGAAACATGTGTTCGTCGCAGAAAAATAATAATAAAATAAAAAAAATAGAAAAAAAACTTTAAAAGTAAAAACGTGGAGGAAAACGAAAAAGGGGGAAAAATCAATCATAGAATCATCGAACGGTGATGGTTAACCGGAAATACAAAATGACAAATTCACACACTAAAAAAAAATTTTTTTTTCTTCTTCTTCCTCTTTCCTCTTCCGGACAAACGAAAAAACTGTTTCCTCTCGAATTCGGTTTTTTTTTTTTTAACATCAAAGAAAGTAAAAAAAAAAAAAAAAATTAAAGGATAAATTTTGTCCGCATGTTATGTTGGCACTCCTCATTATCGTTTTCATAAAAATAAATTTCAAACGTTTTTTTTTTTTATTTTTATTTTTTTCGTTCTCATCGTCGTCGTCGTTGTCGCCGTCGACATCGTTATCATTATCATCATCATCAGCTTCATTATCATCATCATTCTTATTTTTATTTTTAATGACGAATATAATAAAAAATTTTTTCCGTTACAAAAAATAAAAAAACTTTCTGCTTCATTAAGGAAAAAAAAAAAAAATATTATAATAATTTAAAATTCAAAAAGGGCATTTGTTTATTATTTTTATCCTCTTAACCGTATTAAATTATTATTATTATCATTAGCGGTTATTATCATTATCATTATTATTATTATTATTTTCACTTTGCATTTTCTTATTTCTTCTATTAATTCGCTTGAAAATTTTTACTCTAAATATAATTTCGACATAAAAAAATTATAATAAGTAATTTGATGAGTTTTCTTCGTTTTTTTTTTTTTTTTTATTAAGTTGGTAAAATTGATGGCATTTTACAAAAAACCTTCGGAAAATTTTTGTTTTTTTTTTAATGTTTAAAATTTGAAATTTAATGAAAAAAATTTTTATTTTTTTATATGGTTACTACGTATTTTGTACGTTGTAAAAACCGTTAAATTCTCTCTATAAAATGTTTTTTTTTTATATTCTAAAATATTATTTAGTAAATAATATCGTATTACGTCACGATTTTATAGACTTTTATAGCGTAAAAAATAAAACTTTAAAGAATTTAGTAAATAATAAAGTTTTAAAACGCGAAAAAAAACCAACTCGAATACGACTAGTAGGAAAAAACATTTTTCTTTTTCTTTTTTTTTTCCTGTTAAACCGGACGCCATTAATGTTTTTT